GACACGAGGAGAAAATAATTGAGAAAGAAAGAAATTCTTTAAAAAAAAAAAAAAAGGAAATAAAAAGGGGAAAAAGGAGGCATCATAAAAAAATAAGATCCTGCAAGGTTTGCGCGTGCAACTGACACTAACTGGAGGCCCAAACAAGAAAAGGAAACAGTGACTCGACTAGACTATGTATCGATGGGTAAAAGTCGTGATATCCCCACTGCAGCCTCCAAGGTGGTGGGTGGATGGGTGGGTGGTAATGGAAATCAAGCAACGAGTTCCCTTGCCTCGTTTGACTTGCTAGCTATCTTGCTTGGAAGCTGGAAGTTGGAGGGAGCTAGTTCAGTAAAAACAGCGAGCACCAACCCTACTAGAGTACTAGTTTAACCTTTTCCTCCTCCCGAGTCGTGAGTACGTACACTCACTCGCTCAACATGCTACTCCTTTTTTTCTGCGATCTTTCTGTGCCCTGTGGATGATGTTGATGGCCTATGGTAGTACATTAGTACACTCCCATCCTGTATTCGGGAAATTAGCGACAGTGTTTGTTGTGTTTCCAGTATTTCAGGAGGTCTTGGAAAAAGTCATCAAGTCATATGGTAATTGGCTACGCCTAGTTGGAGACAAATTGTCAAGTGACCTGAAGTACGTATATGTACACTGCCACGAAATCACGCACATATCCCAAGAAATTCAACTCATCAGCGTGTAATAACCCCCTCCCCCCCCCCCCCCCCCCCCAAAAAAAAAAAAAAAAACTCCAACCTGATTGTACCCAACGACAACAGATATCAGACATCAAGCAGCACTGGCGTCTTTCTGTCGCCGCCGCCTAACATCAATCTTGACATCCAAAGCCGGGATGATCGTATGCGCTACCCACGTTGGTGGTGGTCGGTTGGCGATGGGCTTGAAGTCGTAGTTTTGGAGGATGTGGGATAGCATCATTTTGACTTCGTGGGCTACGAAGAAACGGCCGGGGCTATTGCAGACAATCCGGTTAGCAAGGTGGGTTTTGAACAGGAGGACTAGAGGTGTGAGGTGAGGGTGTAAACAGAGGCTGGAGGAAGGGGAAACGGGTTCCTGTATGGTGAAAGGGTGTAGGAATAAAAAATAGAAATAAAAGGAAAGAAGTGAAAAAAGGAGAGGGAGAGGAAAAGGGGGAAAATGAGAGGGGAGAGAAAGAAGAACAAATAAGGCAATCATAAATAATGCAAAGAAAAATAAAAAAGCGCGATGAGAGAGAACAAGTACAAACCAAGCATGTCTCCCATGACTAAAAGGCAAATGTTCACTACTTGTAGTCACCAACCCCAACCTCTTGACTCTCAACGCTTCCTCCGTATCCCCCTTTTCTTTCTCCTTCTCAGAACGAGCCTCATACTCCTCCCTGACCCTCGAAAATCTCAAAGCATCATACATCTGCGGATCCTCGTAAATCTCAGCATCATGCTGCACGCTCATATTCGTCTTCAGAATCGCCCCGTAGGGGGCATGCCACCCCTCAACCGGATTGGTGATGCCTTCCTTCGCTACCACTTTCCGGTGCGTCAGCCCGGTACTAAAAGTCGACAGGCGCATGCTTTCGCGGATAGCGCTGTCGGTGCGGTATAACCTCGCAAGACCATTTTTGGTCCAGATGCCATTGGGTTCTTGGCTTAAAATGGTGGCGGTTTCCTCGCGCAGGATGGAGAGATAGTCCTTGGAAGGGTCGGAGGCAAGCAAGTCGAGGAATAAAGCGTGTAGGGTGATGACTGTCGTATGAATGGCTGCGAACTCGATAGGTAAAAGACGCATGGCGATCATGTAGGGCGTCTGCTCGTGCGGGAGGTTGTCGGCTTTGGCTTGGCGGATGAGCCACGTGATCAGCGATTCTTCCGGTGGCGTTTGCGACTCCCCGGATTCGAAGCGCTCGTAATCGCGCAGGCGCTGCTCGATCACGGGCTTGAGGAGGCGGTAGCCTTGACGAAAGTGGTACCAGTTGGGTAAGGTGACGAGACGGCCGACGAGCGGGTGGAGGACCGTCGGGAAGAGCGTCAGGATCAGGCAGTTGCGGAAGACGTCGTCGGCAAATCCGACTTGGCTTGACAGAAAGGCCTGGTTGCGGCAGAGAGGCAGGCCGACGGCTAGACGGTTCATGACGCGGGGGACGATAGTTAGAAGAGCTTCCCAGAGGTTGAGGGACTTCCAGTTCTCGGCGTCGACGCCAAAGGCAAGGTCGATGGAGTCGACTACTTCTTGTTGGATGTCGGGGAGTAGCGTGACAAGGTTGCGGGCTAGGTGCTTGTGCATCACCTTGGTAGGGAAGTGGTCGTCGACATCGAAGAAGTTGTAGGCGCTGAAAAGGACATCTTTGTGGGATTCTTGGGTGCTGAGCACCGTCTCGGGCTGTTCGAGCATCCAGGCTATCTGTTCTCGAGGGACGACGATCTCGTCCGGCTGGCTGGGAGAGGCGGGAGTGACGAAGGAGCGGCCGTGTTTGCCGTATTTGTTGTAACCTTCTTCGGCCCAGTTGTGGTAGTTAGAGAGGTTCATCCAGTTGCGTATGGTGGCGCGGATTCCTCCCGTGTAGCCGACTCGAGGTAACGATTTGGGATACGATGGCTTCTTGGTCGAATCGATGGCGAAACTCGCAATGGTGAGGAGGATGACGAGCGCCGTGATGCGACCCGGAGTCAAGCTGGCCAGCAGCAACTCGACGAGGTGGGAGCTCAGACTGGTGGTCGCCATTGTGTCGGTCGTGCTTGGAACATTCCCGTCGTTCAGCGAATATTGGTAGACAGTTGGAAGAGGATATTCTGGTCGTGCCCGAGGTGTTCGGTTGTTGTTGGCACCATGGCTGGTTATTCTTGGTTCGGGTGAAGTCTCGATGAAACAGGGACAAGAAGTTGAGGAGGATCGAAGTCGACGCGGATTGGTGTTTCTTGTCAAGTCAAAGCGTGCAAGGCACGTCACTTTAGGGGCTCTCGGCTAGGCATTGCGGGGGATTTTAGGAGCATGGCCCACTGTAAACAATTACCCCAACCCGGCCCGTAGTGGGGGTGGGGGGATTTTAGGCAGCCGAACCGGTGGGGTTTTGGTTCTTTGTTTTCTTCAGCCCTATGACGAGCCTCGCGACTCTTCCCTTCATCGACTTCTTTCTCGGCCTCGTGAATTCACGAAAAGATAGCCTTGCTGAAGTACAAGATTCATTCTTTCTGATTGCAATGCATCGCCATCGAAATATTTTGACTGGGCCCAATGCCTGAACGTGACACCACAATCCCGACCCCAAGAAGAGCGATGCGAGAAGTTTGCCATGTCGACCTTTAACGGCTTGTTGGCCGAGTTCCCTGATATTCGAGGTTAGCAAATGGCTTTCCTTCGTTCTTGTTTGGCTCCCATGGCTAACCACTGACCATGTTGTAGTCGACTTCTTCCGCTACCACCCGAACCGCAGGCCTCCCTTGGCTTGCCTCTTGAGCCATGTCCACACTGATCACCTTGCTGGTCTCGACACTTTGCGATCACCCTTGTTAGTCGGAAATTCTGCCCTCTTGACGGCCATGTCTAATTATGTTTAGCGTGTACTGCTCTGCCGCCACCAGGGAGATACTCCTCAGCCTAGAGACCGTCTCTCGCCGTATCAACTATGCCCAAGGCACCCTGGAAGCCCGACAACTGTCCTATAAGCACCTGAAGAACTTGTTGAAGCCACTCCCTCTCGACACCCCGGTCGAACTCGAGCTCGAACCAGGGAACCATATCCAAGTCACCCTCCTAGACGCCAACCATTGTCCCGGTGCTGTCATGTTTTTGTTCGAGGGTCAAGGAAAAGCTGCCCTCTATACTGGCGATATCCGGAGCGAACCATGGCACGTCAACGCCATTGCAAGGTCACCGTCTATGGTTCAGTATGCATATGGTCTGAAGACACTCGATACCATCTACCTGGATACATCCTTTATCGAAGACATCAAGTTTCCTACAAAAGCTCAGGGCATCAGCGAGTTGCTGGAGAAGGTTTCCAAGTACCCTCCCGATACCATGTTCCACTTTCAAGCCTGGACATACGGGTACGAAGATGTGTGGGTTGCCCTGTCCAAAGCACTGGGGTCAAAAGTAAGAGTCGCCCCGTTGCCATCCCTCGAGTTTCAGCTAACAGTGATAGGTTCATGTTGATGAATATAAAATGGGCATATACCAGTCCCTTCTGGCCAAGGATCCCGGCAACAAGCGCGGCTTTGGTGTCCTGCATCACTTGTCTCCTGAGGCTCCGGCCCTCGTGGGATTTATGCGTGGTAACTTGTACCATCCGGGTTGCCTGACATTAGATGAAAACGTCCGCCTTCATAGCTGTGAGAAGGGCAACTACTGCAAGACAGTTCGAGAAAACCCGATAGTCCAGATACACCCCGTGCTTACGCATCTCAACGATGGTGAAGACCTTCCGGAACTTGGCATTGGTGGAGGTGGTGACGATCTAGAGCGCGAGGAGGAAGAAGATCGCTTGTCTGAGATACAAATTCAGATGGTCTTGAAGTTGTAAGACCGCCAAAGCATCCCTCGACTATCCTGATGCTAACTCTTACAGTATCCGGTGGCTGGAAAAGTCGGCAGAGAAAGTCGAACTTCTACCTCTCGAATCTTTCGCGAGTGGCTCCAAGATAGAGATAGGCTTGGAACAGTTTACATCGGACACAGGCAACAAGACCGCACTACTTCATTTCCTGCGAGACCTGATTGACAAGTCGAGATCTCAGATAGCTCAAGGCAGGTCCATTCTGGCCGCTAACAGCAGAGCCGGAGGAAACCTGCCTAGCATCATCACCTTTCCATATTCGCGCCACTCGTCGTATGCCGAGCTTTGCCATTTGATTGATGCTTTCAAACCAAAGGACGTATGGCCTAACACTGTTAACCCGCGCGAGTGGCTTGAACAAGGTATGATTACTCCTTTCCCTAATAATCATAATTAGTCACTGACACTCAGGTTTATCAGGTATTGCCATCGAACACTTGTTTGGAAAGTATTGCTCCGGTAGTTCATTCCGACACGACAAAATAATGGCAGAGATATTCGAAACAAGGGAACAAGGGGAACAAGGGGAACAACCCATCCTAATCAGTGATGACAGCCAGTCGACCGCTAGCGAACCTAGAAGCTCATTCCATGAGCCTTCATCCCTCCAGGGCGTTGAAAACTGGGATGGCACCACCATTGCTCCGAATCTGAACTTGTCGAGCAGTTTCTCTCAGATTTCGGTCCGGGAGGAAGCATCCTTGGACATACGCGCTCACGCCTTTCGAATGATGCTAGACAACGCCATGAACAATGCTGGCCACGAACTCGGTCTAATATCCACACGGGACCACCACACGAACATGGAAGCTGAGCTAGGCGAAAGATGATTGGAGCGCATGTCGTATCTTTAAAGCTTCAACGGCACTCTCTAGTTGTGTCCAGGCTCGGCTCCGGGACCCCCTTTTCTAGCGTTGCAGTGTAGCCACGGACAACGTTCGGTACTTGGCCGCGCCCAAAATGGAGAATCTTGTTTCCAGCAATCGAATCGGAACGATTTACCCCAGAAAATCTGGAGATCTCCCTTGGACTGCAACACTCTCTGATCAATCTAGGGCATGACGGGCATGATTTAGCCATTTACAACATGTTTCGGCCCTCCTGGGCTCCTCCTTTGCCTAAATGTCACCTAACCCCAGTTTCCCCAACTTTCAATGTTTCAGGGCCATCTGGAGCTCGTGGTCTCCAGGGATCACACTCTACGTCAATATTAGGAGACTGCTTCACATGGGGAGGGTGTAGCGTATAAATGGTAGGCTCCAAAGGGAAGGTAGATGAGCTTTCTTGGGATATAAAGGTCTTGAGGTCCCAGATCTTCAACGTGCTTGCAGCCACACCTTGCTTCTCCGGGTGCCTGAACCCTTCTAAGCCTCTTCAACATCCCTTTCGTCCCCCAAAGTTATCCTAGGGTGGCGTACCACAAGTCAAAGATGAGGCTCTTTAGTCTCGCTCTTCTTGTCTCTACTTGGGCCTGGGCCTGCAGCGCCCTCGTCATCGACACCGCATCTCTAGGCCTTCACGACAACCAACTAGCACAGCATGCCGACCCATCGCTCGCCGGTTACTTGGGCGTCTTCTTCCTCGGCGCCGATCCATACGTCTACTTCTACCTCAGCAATGGCAATAACCCCATCTCGTTCAAAGCTTTGAACAAGGGGTCACCAATCTTCAAGCCGACCAAGGGGACAGGAGGTGTTCGGGACCCGACGATTGTTCCAGGTGGAGGTAGCGAGGCGGGAAAGAAGTGGTATATTATTGGGACTGATTTGAATATCGGAAAGGTGTGTCATCGTCATCAGTGGGTGGCTACAGCAGTAGATGTAAAATACGGCCAGGTTACTGATCATGCGGTGAAAACAGACAACGTGGGACGCAGCACAACGAAAGGGCTCCAAGGGGATTTTCGTCTGGGAAAGCACCGATCTGATCAACTGGGTCAACGAGAGTTTGGTGGTGGTAGAGGACAATACTGCTGGCATGGTCTGGGCACCTGAAGCCATTTGGGATCCGGCGAAGGGTCAATATCTTGTTCATTGGGCTTCGAAATTTGTATGTCTTCTCCTGTCGCTCCCTCGTTCCTTCCGACTTCTCACCTCCATGTTTCCCGTTCCACTTCTCCAACCTCCTAACCAACCCCAAACCAATAGTATCCAACCTCCGACCCAAACCACATCGGCAACCCCTCCTCCATCCGCATCCGCTACGCCTACACCTCCGACTTCCGCACCTTCTCCACTCCACAGACCTACATCGACCGATCCCCCACCAACATCATCGACTTAACCATCCTCCCGCTCAACCCCTCTAACTCTTCTTCACAATCCTTCCTCCGCTTCATGAAAGACGAAACCCTCAAAACCGTCTTCGTTGAAACCTCTACCACGGGCCTCTTCGGCACCTGGACACGCGCCGGCGGCTCGTCAGTGATTATTCAGAGCGGGGTGGAAGGACCGGCGGCGTATTGGGATAATACTACGCCCGGAAAAGTTCATTTGCTGTTGGACTTTTATGGGAGCGATGGGTATCGGCCGTTTGAGAGTAGTAACCCGGGAAGTAATTCGGGGTGGACACAGAGTAGTAGGACGGGGTGGCCGACGGGGTTGAGGCATGGGAGTGTGATGGCTGTTGATCAGGGGTTGTATGGCAGGTTGAGTAGTAAATGGGGTTGAAGAACATGGAGTAAGGGGGAGTAGGGGGAAAAGGGGGAAGAGAGGGGCCAAGGGGGATGCTGAATGGGTTGAAGGGCTCAAAGAACGAGGTAAGGGACAACAAAGCGACGAAGAACCGCTCCAAGAACAGGAGTCTAATTGATCCAAACACCGAAGAGGTAGTATTTCGAGTAGTTACAAGGTCAGTCATAGAATTGCGCGTATTGTGATGATATCCCAGTGATTATAAATACCCCTGTGCTTATAACGGTCCGTTCCGAAGAACAAACATCGTGGAAGACGCGGAGTGTGGTGGTGATGATGTTGATGGATATAATTGCGATGCTGATAACGCCTTGTCGAATGTCGGGTTGACTTTGGTAGATTCCCAGACGCTCTTGGTCTCATATGACAGCTGTTAGCTATACCCTACAACTTGAGGCATTGCGCTTTTCCATATACGGCGGGTTGGAGGTTGAGAAGTCCACTTGAATCTCTTGAGATGAGTGTCTTAACGTGCAAGAACTGGAATGGAAGAGAATGAAATCTAACTAAAGGCATTTACAGATACCATAAGCGCGTCCACTAGAACGGAGCATGAATCCATGGGAATATGGGAATATGGGAATATGTGATTGAGATCCAAGAGTTTGCCGTAGCTATTCTACTGTCGATAATTACCTTTTCGTTGTCGTGGAAGGAAAAAGCAAAAAGAGAACTGGGACGGTCAACAACACTTCACCTCTCCGTTCTCCACTTGGAGATAAGGGCATTGTTCTCTACATGGCTACTCTTGGGAGGGAAAGACACGCTGGTGTAGGCTTTCATCGCTCTTTTACACTGATAGATCTTTGCTGAGCTAACAGCTGAGGAAAGAGAGAAAGAAGCGCAAAGCCGCAGACCTCACAGGCCCAAGAAGACCGACAACGGTCACTTCTCGCGCCATTGATCACATTTAATTTACTGGCATACTGCCTACAAGTAAAGTCAGTATACGAATATAGAAAACAATGGAATTTGATCTCTTTATCCGCACTTGCTCGATTTCGTGCTGTCTGGATTCCCTCAGCGTCTCAGTCTCGCCAATAATCTGACTCTACCTCTACCTGTGGCTCTACCTGTGGCTCTACCTGTGGCTCTACCTGTGGCTCTTTCTTTGTTGGGGCAACATGATCTCCCTCGAGGGGATGTATTATTCCTTACAAAAATCATCTTCTTTTCTCCTCTCTCCCATTTTACTTCCCAGGACGCTTCAGTGCCCGTGTCAGACTTTGTAACAACACAACGACACACTTCCTTTCTGTGGGCACGTTTCGGTTGGATTCTCTTTTATTTTCTCTTCCTTTTTCTCTCCGCCCCCTGCGTCCTTTTTTCTTTCTCCAATTCCTTTTGTTAATTCTCGCTGTTCCCTCCTTGCTTACTTTCCTTTTGTTTCTGCGTTTGCCTTCTTCGTTCCCTCCTCCACTTGTTTGTCGACCGACCTCTCAGAGCATGTCATGAGCTAAATATACTATTGAATAGGTACCCTCGCGAAGAAGCTGAGCTAGGTATGAAAGGTCATTACACGCCATTTGGCAATTTCCCAGAAGTTATGTGTCATGTGAATTAAGGAGTGTAGTTGGCGCGTGTGTCATGGCCATATGTCTAAGAGACTAGGGAAAGTCATGCCGTCGCTATCTGTGGTGTAGGCTACCCAATAATATTTCTCGCTCCATCGATGATACATTGCTTAACTCGTACTTCGAGCCATAAAATTCACCAGTTCGTTTATGAGTTCTATCAGTCGGACGCATTTCTTCATGTTTCTTGCCATATTTGTGGATCCCTTGGACTCTTTTCCCTGTTGGACTATCCAGTCTGCCTGTTCCTCTCTACACGCAACTTCAAGGAGCATGAGCTGTCCCCAGTCCCCCCGTAGAAAACATCACATGGTTGACCATGAACTATCTGAACATGTGAAGATCTGAACAAATGAACTTGTGAACATGTGCACCCCAGGACCCCAGGACATCAGGACCTTCTCTATATTCACATATGTTCACACTTCAATCTTCACGTGAAGGTCTTTCAGTATCGCAATTGGGACCTTCCCATATTGAATTATTACCTTTTCCATCTCACAGATTTCCAGGCGACCCACCACCCACCACCCACCACTCAATCTTCCATCCGCCATCTTCTATCCGCCATCTTCCATCCGCCATATGACAGACGTCTACAGACATCTGACAGACATCTAACCTACGGTTTACGGTACGGTAGGGGATGGAGCGCACATTGATATGATTGTATAAGAAATGGCAAGTGGCGACACAGCTACAAAGCTACAAAAGAAAGGGAAATGACCCACGGAAAAACGGACTACGGTACCGAGAAGTTCGATGGGGTCTCCGACGAAACCTGGGATTATGTAGATTACCTGCCCTCTGTTCACTGCCCTCCATAGATGCTGTCTGGATGGTTGCTAACTGGCTGGCCGGCGGGGAAGCAATGATGAGCGTCCCCGGTAATTAATCCATCGAGGGAAGACTGAGCATGAGTTTAGCACGAGCGCCATTTAATATCTTGATATGAGATTTGCGAACGTTGCACGTGTCTCCAGGAATGAAGAATCAAGTGTGTGTGCGTGTGTGTGTGTAAGCTGAGCGGCCGGCCCGGAAACGTGAGTTACCAACCCTTTTGATGTGCAGGAAGAGGAGAAGGAGGGCATGATTGGCATGACTGGCATGCTACATACTGCTGCCGTGGAATTTTGAGCTCATTGCATTGCGAGTTATGCAGATATCGAGGAGTGTCTTGTGGGAGTACATAGTTCCTTGTTGTACACCCTCTGAACGTCTGTGGAGAGAAATCCAGACTCTGAGTCTGCCAAAAGAGCGAGGGAGGGACAAGGCTCGTTGGCCGACTTTCCGGCCCATCAGTTGCATCTCATGTTGGTCCTTTCTGTATGCTGGTCACTTGTTTGTTCTCCCATCGACATGAACGGTCGAGATGAATGACCTAGGTCAAAAAGGACAAAGGACAACGACCAGTACCGGTAGGTACTCCCCCGGATACAAGGGAGACAGGTAAGCCCCCTCCCTCCTTCTAACGGGCTGGCAGTTACTTTGCCCCTTCAATCTCTTGATTGGTCACTGGCCAGTTTCATTCGATGTAACGACGGCTCGCGGATGTTGAAGATGCCAGGCGCGCGTTGGGCGGCCTTCGGAAAGGCTGGACCCCTGGTCGGTCGGAATGGAAATGGTGAGATCACGCCGGCTTCGAGCGAGCGGGTTGTTGATTGAATTTTCTTTCACTTTCACTTTGTCTCTCCCGACCGCCGACCCTGCCAATCTCGTCTCCAGCCGTCGAAAAATTCTGTTCTCCGCAATATCTCTCCCCCGCAATCCCAGAGAGCGAGTGACCAAGGTAGAGTCATTGCGATTTGCTGCTATTCTTGGAGCGCTTTTACCAGCTACCTCTCTGTCGGTAGAGGGAAGCAATATGAATCGCCTTGTGGGTATGAAGATCCGTATGAAGTATATATTGGAAGGGACTGATAATCGGGTCAGCTGTGTTGATGATCAAGAACGACCATGGGAAAGACTGCCCTCACCTGCCAACAAGCGAGAGGCACGGATTCCTCCGCGGGATGAACTGCACATCAGACAGACATACGTGAGCGTATTTGTCATGAGGTGCGGAGGAGGCCTACGTACGTACCTGTTGGGGCTCTGGGAAAGAAGGCTGCGTAGGACAGTCCCGGTCGTTTGTGAGATCACGGTGGTAGACGTGTGTCAGACGGTTGGAGGGTCGGGGATCTGTCGAGACGATACCGGCATGGCTGTTAGACACCCAACAGCATTGGGAGTCAGCACCACCACCTTCCGTCCCGTATGTATCCGGCAATGTCACTTCACGGACATAGGACAAGGAACATCAGGAATGTCTACACGAGCTGACCCCCGATATAAACCGACGAAAGGACCCAACCCCCGTTCCGAAGCGGTCTCGACCGGGCGGACCGGGTCGTCCGGCACCGCACGATGTCTAGTCGATTGTCAAGATAGAAACGCGGCCCTGTCCGAGAATATCGTCGAGTGTCGTCGGCAATGAAGGACCAGGGGGGTGGCCGCATATGACAGGACAGACGGCGGCCGAATGTATGCGTGCCGCTGTGACATGGCGGGTAACTGCACACTGCACACAGAAAGGCAGGTTTGCCACTAGGATGTGAACTGTGTGCAGCTTCAAGCAGTTTGGAAGAGTTGCTTTGGGAGTCCCGATTTGGACATAACATGATTGCGGTAGTCCAGAAAGGGCCATGACATGCTTGGGTCTCTTGTGGGAATCTGCTGTACGCTCGGACGTTTTCCAGGGTGATAGGGTTGCCTTGTGGACGGTCTCGGCTATGCAAGCTTCTGCTTTTTCGATCAACGGTAGGGCATGGTGGAATCGTCGTTCGTAAACCTTGCCAGCGTGCCATTTCTTGCCAATCGTGTTCACCTCCTGTGTGAAGCTGCGTGGTCAGTTATGGTACTGTGCAGTCGCACTGGGAATCCCTTCCCTTCTTCCATCCTTTCAACATACCAAATGCTCGCTCTTGTCCGAATGTTTTATCCGATTCGATAAACGATCACAAGACGTTGCACACCGGTAGTCGTTTGTTTAAAGTGCCTGCAGCCATAGCCCCCCTTGCCTCCATGGCGTTGGAATGGCAACCTGGTCCAAGTGGACAGGTCCCTTTCTTGGTTCATTTCCTGGACCATCTCGTCACGCGTGGCTTTTCTGCAGTCTTTGGGGTTTGGGATATGGAACCCTGTCATGACTTCCAGTTCTGATAATGGTCTTGGTCATGATTGACAAAGCGGTAGGTTGATGTGTAAGTTGGTAGATGATGACACCCATTGGAGTCGAGCTTGGCAACGCCATCCACGTACTTTTCATGAAAGAAAAAGAGAGAAGAAAGTGAAATGAGTTTCTTGCTCCCTCTTCTTGGAAAAGTCTGATTTGGTGGGAGACGTCATCTGCTGCTCCTCTTT